ACTCGCAGTCACGTTGGTTCGCGGTGCTGGAGTCCCCAAAATGATATTCTGACACGGTCAAACTTGCCAGGCCGCAACAGTCAGATTGACCCGCGACGCTGAAGTCCCCGGAATTGTGTTTTGGCACGATTGGGGATTCTCCGACGCTTGTTTTCCAATGGGACATTTCCCACAAAGAGGATATATTCCTCTTGGGGCTTACGAAGAAGGAACTTGCACGGAGGGTTCATTGCAACATCGTTGATGCGTCTTGAGTTTACACTGGTCCTTCTCCTCCTCCTCCTCCTCCTCCTGCGTTCTCCCTTTTCCCCCCTCCCTCCTCCCTCCTCCATTCTCCCTCCCCCCTCCTCCTCCTCCCTCCTCCCTCCTCCTCCTCCTCCTCCTCCCTCCCTCCTCCTCCCTCCTCCTCCTCCTCCTCCTCTCCTCCTCCTCCTCTCCCCTCCTCCCTCCTCCTCCTCCTCCTCCTCCTCCTCCTCCTCCTCCTCCTCCTCCTCCTCCTCCCCTCCTCCTCCTCCTAGCTCCTCCTCCTCCTCCTCCTCCTCCTCCTCCTCCTCCTCCTCCTCCTCCTCCTCCTCTCCTCCTCCGCCTCCTCTCCTCCTCCCTCCTCCTCCTCCCTCCTCCCTCCTCCTCCTCCTCCTCCCCTCCTCTCCTCCTCCTCCTCCTCCTCCCTCCTCCTCCTCCTCCTCCTCCCCCTCCTCCTCCTCTCCTCCTCTCCTCTTCCTCCTCCTCCTCCTCCTCCATCTCCTCCCCCTTCTCCACCTCTCATGCCATGTGGGCCCGAGACCCAATTTTGGAGGATCCCAAAGGACCCAGACCTCGGTGCTTCCACGGAGCGCATGGGGGGCGCCGCAGCGACAACTGTCCCCCTAGAGTTCTTCTTTGCGGCGGCGAAAGCCGAGGATGTCACGTCTCGTATCGAAATGCAACGGCTGAGGCACATTCAAGTACAATGATGTTCTCTTGCGAGCGGATCAAAAATGCAGATCGTGTAATCGCCAGGTGCGCCTCTTCGTCCCCTGGAGGACCCGTTCAAGGTCAGCGTCACCCACCGCGCCATGGAGAGTCCCATTCGCAGCGGACAGCGAGAACCAGTTAGCCTCAGTCGGTCATGTTCGGGACACGTCATCGAGTCCCAAGTCTATATTGAAATTATCGTCGTCTGGGCCCCAGGACTTGGCTTCATCAATGAAGGCGGCCATCGCCCAGACCACCGACCCACGCATGAAGGCCGCGCTGGAGGCACAGCTGGCCAAGATCGACGTGCCCGGGCAGATGCCCACCGCATCTCCTGCCGACGAGGTTCGTCTCACGGACGCGGCCTGGCGGGATGCGGAGGGCAAGCGCGAGCAGGCGGCCAAGGCAGCGCAGCACCTGCGCAGTCAGCTAGACCAGGCTGAGGAGACAGAGCGTGAGGATGCCGAAGTCTTAGCACGAGCCACGCTGACGAAGACGCAGGCGGCGCAGGCCCTGGCGAAGGCGGAGGGCGTCATCTTTGACAGCGCCGACGGCAACGGCGCCAAGTCTTTGTTCCAGTTATCGCGGGACCGAGAGTTGTTCACCAATCTAGATCCATAATCGGCGATACCCGCTAGAGTGTGTAGGTACGACATTCAGCAGAAATTGCTCCAGAAAGTGAAGATACCACCAAAATCAAGAGCCTCAAAAAGCGCTCGAAAAACTATCGAAAAATGGTCGCTTGAAAAATCCTGCAAAGGAAGAAGAGGGCGTGCACCAATTTGAAGCCTTCAGGGGTCTTCCTGCGCGCTCAACAACTACACCGAGGGACGACGGTTTCCGCGAAGCGTTCGATATAAAGGGGAATGGCACGAAGCTCGAGGCTAAAGAGAGAGCCCGAGGGGAGCGTGAGGACCCACACATGTTTCACCTCCGTGGGCCCGCGGCCGTCGGTCGCATCGGGAACTGAAGCTCGCCGCGTCGACAGAGCGAGCGCGACGGCAAGCGGCGACAGGCGCGGGCCAGCTGAGACGGGCCGCGGAGGACGGAAAGATCCGAGAGGAGAAGCCGAACATCTCAACATCATTCCTCCTTTCTCCTCCCCCCCCTCCGCAGGAGGAGGAGGAAGGCGGAGGAGGAGGAAGAAGGAGGAGGAGGAGGAGGAGGAGGGAAGGAGAGGAAGTGCGAGATGCGGAGGAGGAAGGAGGGGGAGGAGGAGGAGTAAAGAGAAGGAATGATGTGGACATGTTCGGCTTCTCCTCCGAATCCTCCTCCTTAGAAGGGCCCCCCGATCAGTCGGAGTCCGTGCCCTCTCCCGAGTCGCCCTGGACGTCCGAGTCAGGGCCTCCCTGGCTCGCGGCGGCGGCGGCCGCCTCCTCGGGCGCAGACGGAGCAGCCTCGTCCAAGATGCGCTTGATGTCCGCGTGCGCGAAAGCCTTCACAAGGAAGTGCGGCGGCTTGGGGTTCTTGGTGACCGTCCTGCCACGGATCTGGGATTTTTTGTACGAGCGATCTCAACGCCCCCAGTTTGCGAAGATGTCTCAAGCGAAAACCTCACGCTCACACCGACACGTTTTGTACCAACGACTTCAACATCTCGCGCTTTTTTATGGGGGGAGGTCTCAAGCGAAACGGCCTCAAGCTCGGGAGGGCCGTTTGGAACTCCAAAGCCCCCAGGTGGCTCTTGGGAGCCTCTTGTGACTCCCAAGAGCCTCCTGGTGGCCCCTTGGAAGCCTCTTGGGGCTCTTACACGCTTCTATGGGGTGATGTCCCAAGCGGCATCTCGCGTTTTGTGGGGGGGGGGGTGCGCCCTCCTCCTCCTCCTCGTCTTCCTCCTCCTCCTCCTCCCCCCCCTGCTCCTCCTCCTCATGCCCTCCTCCTCCTCCTCCCCCTCCTCCTCCGCCTCCTCCTCCTCATCCTCCCTTCCCCCTCCTCCTCCGCCTCCTGAAAAAATGGCGGTCCGCGGCGGTCTTCGCCTCAGTCGCGGCCATGCGCTTGCTGGTGAGCTTCACCAGGCCAGGCACGATGAAGACCTTCTTGGTCGTCAGCTCCTTGGTGGCGACCGCCTCCAGGGCGTGGAGCACCTTGGACACGTCCGCGTAGCCGACCTGTGGAGTGAAGGAGCAGCCTGGGCCCCCAAGCGCTCCAAGCGATCAAAGAAACGCCCCAATCGATCGACGGGGGCGGCCCTTTAATCACCTGGAGCACCTGGGAGCCCAGGGTGCAACTTCAGTCATCGGGGACCCCCCCGTGAGCAGCACCGTAGACGTCCTTCGTGGCGACACTGACCGCCGTCACGAGCTGGAAGCGGGACATGCCGTGCTTCGACGGCGCCTTGGGCGGTTCGCTGATGACCTGGTCATGTGGCGCTGGTGGTGCTGCAGGTTGCACTGGCGCTGCTGCAGGCGGCACAACTGGCGCTGGTGTCGCCATTGCGCGTCCTTGCAAAGAAAGTTACGGAAACGGAACCTTCGGGAGACCAAAGATACTCACAGCTTGATCCAAGGCCTCCAGCAATAGATGTCAAGCGGGGCCCCAGGACTCGGGAACTCAAGGCAAACTCCGCAACTCAAAGCGCCCCATTCCCCTCGGGTCTGAGTCTGAAAGGAGGCTGTGGAAAGCATGGCCTCGGGCCAGGGGGATGAAGAGAGGGCGGGGAAGAGCCTAGGACAGGGTGGAGGAGGAGAGGGAGGGTCAGAAGGACGAGGAGGGGTGGACCCTCGTCCTTCCCACACTCCCCTCCTGCTCCTAATCGTCATTAACCTATGGTTTCCTTCCCATCCTCCGACATTCCTGCTCCTCCTAGCCATTCCCCTGCTCCTCTTCCTCGTCGCCCCCCTTCTCTGTCTCCTATCTGCTCCTCGTCCTCATCCTCGCCACACCCGTTTAACCGCACCCGTTTAGTGTGTCGGGCGACATGCCCGCGAGCACACGCGCGCGTCCCAGGATGGGCCGCCCGCGGGGAAACGAGAACAAACCTTGGAAACATCAAGACGAGGGCCAACCTTTCGGGGCCCTCTTGATTTGAATTAGCTTGACGAAGGACCCAACCATATGCAGTTGTCAATGCCGTCGTTGTTACTATCGCCTTCGGTGGCTCTCTCTTTTGGGGTCACCGTTGGGGGCCACCGTTGGGGGTCACCCTTGGGGGTCACCGTTGCGGGTCACCGTTGGGGGACACTTTTGGGGTTTACCGTTGGGGGTCACCGTTTGGGGTCACCGTTGGGGGGGTCACCGTTTGGGGGTCACCGTTGGGGGTCACCGTTGGAGGTCGCCGTTGGGGGTCATCGTTGGGGGTCACCGTTGGGGGTCACCGTTGGGGGTCACCGTTAGGGGGCACCGTTGGGGGTCACAATTGGGGGTCACCCTTGGGGGTCACCGTTGGGGGTCACCCTTGGGGGTCACCGTTGGGGGTCACCGTTGGGGGCCACCCTGGGGGGTCACCGTTGGGGGTCACCGTTGGGGGTCACCCTTGGGGATATCGCGGAGCCCCTGGGACCTAGGTGGAACTCCCTATGGGGCCACGAAACGCTGTACTGCGTGGTGCGTGACGCATGCGGCCGCGCCACTGGGGCCTTCGGTGGAGCTCCCTATGGAGCTCCCTATGGGGCCACGAAGCGGCCATGATGATGACGATGATGATGACGATGACGATGATGGGGATGGTGACGACCATGATGATGCTGATGATGCTGATCATGACGATCACGATGACGATGGTGATGATGATGGGAGGAGGGAGGAGGAGCGGGGAGGAGGAGGAGGAGAGGCGGAGAGGAAGAGAGACGCGGGGCACCGTCTCTTCAAAACGAGGACCCAACACCACAGGATGGTTGGGAAAAGCAATCAGCTGGGGGCCCAAAGTAAACATGAAAAACCTATTGGGGCCACGTGGAGAAGAGGGGGAGGGCATTTCCCTTTGGGCTGGCTGGCCAGAGTGCCGTGTCCAGCCGCGCGCCCTCTCCTGAGGGCTATCTCAAACGTGTATATATAACGGCGCGCAGCCGCAACTGCACGCGAAAGAGGGCCTCTCGCCGCCCTGCTCCTCAGATGGACTGCAACTTCAGGGCGGAGCGGTACTTGGCGAGGACCGTTGAGTCCATGTCGCTGGGCAAGACCTTCCAGTTGGAGAGCTCCTTCTGCACCGCCACGCACTGGCCCCGCAGCCAGACCTTGTCCTTGGCCGACTTGCTCAAGAACGCCTGCATGAGCTGAATCTCGCAGGCGATGTTGGCCACCTTCTTAATCAAATCGGGCGTCGAACTCATGAGCTCGGAGTCGGCCTTGACCGCCATGTCGTCAGCGTACTCGGACGTAGCCAGCTTCGCCTGCTGGAGGGGAGCAGCGAGACGGCCGCGGGCGGGGGGAGGAAGAGGGGGGTGGAGGAATCAAGTGAAAAAGGAAGTGCGAAGAAGGCAAGTCCCCCTCCCTCTTGAAGAGGGGGGGGGGGCCGAGAAGGGAAACATAGATAGGGAACAAACGCTCGGGCACCCAGTGCCTTCTCGATGATGTGCACGGCTTCGAAGATGCCCTCCACGCTGACGCCGTTCAGCAGCTCATCCGCCATGCGCTTCATATCCTCCCACTCTGTCTCACCCCTATCGATCCAGCGACAGAGGTCTGGGTTGTCGAGTGTCAGAGTCTGCGCATGCAAGCGCGCCTCTGCCAAGGTGGCCTCGCGCTTTTGCAGGCAAGCCTGTCCCACCCTCGTGTGCAAATCCACCGCGCCCTTTACGATGACCCCAGCCGTGTCGTTGAATTTTGTTGGTGATAAGCCCGCTGGCTTCATAACCTCGTCGGAAAGCCCGTTCTTCAACTGCTTCGTCGCCTTGGCAACCTCCCTCTTCACGACTGCGGCCTGCTTCTCGGCTCCTTCGCCTGCGAGCTCGTCGTTGTCGTCGATCACCTTCTCGTTCAAGAGGGAGGCTGCGCGTTTGAGCTTCAGGACCGCCCTCGCGGACGCCAAAACCACCTCAGCTCTCTTGCTGACGTCCTTTGTCATGAGTCCAACCAGCACGCCCTCGAACTCCAAATTCATGTCGACGGGTTTGCGGTTCGGGGCATCCTCGAAGTCCCTCTCCACGAGCTGCTTGACATTGGCAGAGAAATGGGCAAGCATCTCACTTTGATCAGCCGCATCCAGAGAACCGCGGTCCACCCCAGCGGCGAGGTCCACGAGCTCCTTGACGTCAACTGCCTCGTCGGCGTTGGCCTTGGAGATGAAGTGCTTGACGGATTGCATCTTCGAATCGGAGTCGACGGCGTCGAGCACCTTGCTCAAGTTATCGACCTCTCGCGTCAAGTCCTCGAAGGAGGGGCAAGACTCCGCAGCGATTACGAGCAGCTTCTTGAATGACTGCATCATGTCATGATCAGCCCTGTGATCGGCCTTCGGGGCTCCAGCAGTGCCAACGCTCGTCCAGCATCGAACTGCTTCGAGGAGCTTGTTCATCGCAACACTCTCGAGCTCGTCGGCGGCGCCCTCACTCAAAGCAGTGCGCAAGTAGGGGATGTCATCAATGGCCCGCTTGACCAGATCGTGGAACTCCTGTGTCGGGGTAGGCGACTGGTGCTTCCTGAAATCCTGGAGCAGCTTCGCGATCTTCGGCGCGTTCGCTTTCATCTTCTCGTTCTTTTTCGTAGCCGACGCCAAGCGTGCCTTCCAGAAGGTATTGCCATTGACGGCATGGGCCACACTGATGAATAGGCTGGGTTTCGCCGTCGTCTGGTAGGCTGCCTGCTCCATGGCCTTGACGTCATCGAAGATGCCCAGGTCAGTGTTGATGCTGATGTTCTGGTCGCTGATATGCTTCAAGACGTTGAGGGCCTTCTGCGCATCCACCAAGATCTGACCCGACAATGGGTCAAGGTTTGCATCGACAGGAATATCCCACGCCTCAAGTGCGGTGGCCACGAACTCGAGGACATGAGCCTCTTTGCATTCGCCACCCCCGATCCACTTGATCAGGTTATCGTTGAAGACCATCTGCTTGAATGCGTCGTTCATATCGGGCACTGGGAAGCCAATGGTGACGAGCAGCGGGTTTCTCCAATCAAAATCAGCACGTGTATCTTCAGTATCCCAGATCCGTAGCATGTCCAAGGCCATCTTTAGCTGATTGCGACCGCTCAGCTCTCGCGGGCTTGACTCGAAGCCTTCCCAGAGGGGCGTAGTCTTCCTGCGCGCAATCTCCTTTTGGGTCACTGGGAGGAGCTGCACGCCAGCGGCGTCGAAAGCCCCGCAGTACTGTATGAATTTATCCTCGTCGAGCTTCTCCATCGCACCTGGGATGAAGGTCATTGCCTTGTCGTAGAGCTCGATGTGCGTATTCAAACGATTGCGATCATCGCCCACGGGGAGCTTGTCGCGCAAGACCTTCGCTTGGTTGTACTCGCTGCCGAGCTTTGTGCCTTTGGCGACTTGGCGAAGGGGCAGCTTAGCGATCCAATAATCTGGCGTGCCCTTGGGGATGCTCGGATCGATGATGAAGTCGAGCGCATCTGCGTCTGCTGACGCTGGCCTCTTCGGAGTACTCCGGCTGCCAGACCCCAGCCCACGGCCGCCGCCCTTCGGAGTCAAGGCGGGCTTGGATGGCGCGGGTGAGCGACGGGGCACATGCTTCTCGGGCTGATCCTCAGCAGCGGCCTCCAGCTTGGCCATGAAGTCAATCTTCCTCTTGCGCCCTGCGCCAGCTTCGCCGCCGTCCTCGTCGCAACTGGACGGGCCGTCTCCCTCCTCTTCCTCCTCTTCCTCCTCTTCCTCCTCACCGTCGTCTTCATCTTCTTGGGCGGTGTCTTTAGGAGCATGTTCGTCACCGTCAGCCGCGGCACCCCAACGACGGTCCATATCTTTCAGGGTGGGCAACCGATTCAAGGACGCTGTCTGGCTCTCAGTCATGGCCAAACGGTGCATACCTTTCAAGACGATGGGGATCTGGTTTTTCAAGGCCTCTGGCAGACAACCTTTCTGGTCACTCGAGGCGTTGGCTGACAACACTGTCTGCAGCCGCAAGATCTTGTAGGGCTGATCGGGGTTCTTGAACGGGTACAAGACCGACATCGCCCCTTTCTTCGAGTAGCTCGGCAGCTTGACTCCTTTCAGGCGCATGGTCTTCGGCGTCTTCCTCCAGCGCTGCGTGACCTGCCACGCGGAAAGCACGATGTAGCTCTCGTCCACGAGCGCAAAGGTGGACGCCCCCATGCTGGCCGTGATGTCGCGAACTTCATTGCCCTCAGCCGTGTACAGCATGCCCTCTGCCATGTCCTCCGCCAGAGACTCGTCCCTGGCGCGCTCGGCAAGCAAGAGGTCCACCGTGTAGCCTGTGGTGCACCACAACGGGCCACGGGTTAAGACCTTGACGGGTCAAGGTCCAAGGGTTACGACCTTCACGGGCCAAAAGGCCAAGGCACCAAGGGTTAAGACCTCAACTCTGAAGGCCTCAATGGGCCAAGGGGTACGAAAGCGTCAACGCCACATCAGAAGGGTCAAAGCATCCAACCTACCTCCGACATCCTTGAGGAGGCCCTTAGTTGCAGTAAAAACATGCCCAAGTGGCCCAGAGCCCTATACCATGTCTGACTTTTGTCTCACTTGTTCAAAACGCCACTCCCAGCGAGGGTTTTGAAAAACATGTCAGCATACCATGTTGACTTGTTGTTCAAAACCCTCGCTGGGAGTGGCAGTTTCTACACTTCGCGCCTGTTCGGCCTTCCGACGTCCCAAGAGAACCCAAGAAGCCCCCAAGACAGCCCGAAGACCGACCGAGAGGCCTCCAAAATGGCCTCATGACGGCCCAAGAGGCCCCCAAGACGGCCCCAAGAGGGCCCCAAGACGGCCCAAGAGGGCCCAAGACGGCTCTCTTGGGTTCCTCTTGGGGCTCCAAGAGTGCCCCAAGAGGGCACCAAGAGGGGCCCAAGAGGGCCCCAAGAGGGCTCCAAGATGGCCCCAAGAGCAGCTCAAGAGTATGACACGGCCGTGACATACTCTTGGGCCTCTCCTGGAGCCCTCTTGCCCCCCTCTTGGGGCTCCAAGGGGCCTCAAGAGGGCCCCCAGGAGGGCTCCAAGGGGGCCCCAAGAGGGCCCCAAGAGGCCCCAAGAGGACCCCAAGAGGACCCCACGAGATCCCCAAGATGACTCCAAGAGACCTCCACACCTCAACTCGCCTGGGCAGCGCCGTTGGATGGGCTGGTGGGGGCACGCGAAGCGTCAGGAATTGCGCCTAGGAACAGGGATATGGAAATGTGGTGCGGCCAATCGGGCGGGGAACACCCAAAGCCTGGCAAGTGCGTCTCGATGAACTCGGCGCACCCCTCGCAGACGGCCTTTGTGCAGTCGCACATCGAGCTTCTGTACGTGGAGCTGTCGGGGTCGTACATGGTCTTGTCCTCTGGCGCAGCACAAGAACATCCAAAGAGACCCCCCCCCCCCAACAACGCAAGGCTCGTGGGCACATCCGATCCAAACGGTTTTCGGAAAACACACAAAACCTGTGGGGCTGGGGCCTCCAGACGAAGTGTGTGGGTTATCCAGTTAGCGGAAAGGTCCCTGGAATTGCATTCGCAGACGGCACAGGTGACCACCGTTTTTTTTTTTTGATGGCGCGGGCGCAGACTTCTGAGGAGGAACCTCCTCCACGTCGTCTTCGCCGTCAGGGCCCCTGGCACGCTTGGCCTCCTTGCGGCCACCGCCGCGCCCGCCATTGCGCTGGCGTTTGGAATCCCCGCCCCTCCCCATGGTGTAGAATGCAAGACACGCCCAAAGTATTTGGCTGAATAGGCTGCAGGGAAACAAACATCAAGGGGGTGCGCTCAAAAAAGCAGGCTTGTCGTCGTTTCTCCGTAGAGCCCGACCCTCAGGAGGTTCCGGAGACCTACCGAGTTGGAAAGACTGGTGCAGGGGACCCGCGTGTTCCAAGAATGATACAGAAAACTGCGTTGACAGCCCTTGCTCACGCAACAACCATACGATTTCGCAAATGGTCGCCTGGAAAGGGCCTGGGGAAGGAGGCTTCAGCCCCCCTCACCCCCCCCCCACACCACCACCCCAAAGCACGCACACACAAACACACCCTGCCCCCAAGACGAGAGCTGGGGAGATAATATGTACCAGCGTTGACTCCAAGTAGGATGCACGCGTGCACCCCCTCCTAAGTGTCCCCTCGCCCCATGTGGGTCCTATGGACCTCTGTCTTAAGATTAAACTTAATGGCTGATTTCTGCTTTTAGTTTACGACAGATTGGCTTATTCACACGGGTGACTAGTAAACGCCAGCTGGCTCTACGCGTCCGCTTGAGACAAGCTGCAAAAAATCAACACACTGGCCGCTTGCCCTTGTTACGGGCCGCTTTACAGTTAAAGGGGTTAGCATTGCGCGCATCGCCGCCGAAGCCAACATTTTTTTTTGCGGGGACAGAGAAGTCCAGGCGATGCGATGCGATCGCGCATCAGCAAACGAAACAAATTGGCGCCCGAAAATGGTGGGCGCCCGAAAATCGGTGGGCACCCGAAAGCAGATGGGCGCCCGAAACATATGGGCACCCGAAAACAAATAGGCGCCCGAATACATATAGGCGCCCGAAAACAAACTAGCGTGCGAAAACATATGGGCGCCCAAATACACACGCGCGCCCGACGACAGATGGGCGCCCGAAACACATGGGCGTAAAAAAAGACGGACGTCGTGCGCCCGCAAGCGTTTGGACGCCTGGAAAGACATGGGCGCCAGAAAACAGATCGGCGACCCCAAGACAGATGGGCGCCCGAAAACTGTTGGGCGCCCAAAAACTGATAGGCACAAGAAACAAATGGGCGTCCCCAAAAAAGGGTGCTGAAGGAGCGGATGTGGGCGTAGAGAAAAGGAAAGGTAATGGAATGGAATGGGCAGACCCGAAGGGAAAGTGCACGGCACCAAAACGGTCACACTTGAGACAGCCACTCTGGCTCAACAATGTGGCCGCCACCAAAGCGACCACAAGAATCCAAACTACCTCAACTACTTGCCTGCCGAGGCTTCCTTCACACGAATCCTCAAACTTGTGGCCGCCACCAAAGCGGCCCTAAGAATACAAACTACCTCAATTACTTGCCCGCAGAGGCTACCTTCAAACGAATCCTCTCGACCAGAGCAGCCATCCTTTGCTCATGACAGGGAACCCCTGAGGCTGAAAAGGACCTGGACACCACCGTCGAGTCAGAAATCGCAAAGGACTCCGAGGGGGGGCAACGTCTCAACCGTGGAGTTACGAGGGAGGACTGAACATCACCACCTCAGGACAAGCACGAAGAGGGGTGGGGGAAGGGTACATTGCCGCTGGCGAGCAACCAAGGGGAGGGGGGTATATTCCCGTCGGCGAAAACCAGGTCGCTGCTCCAGAGGCGCATGCACACGCTGGCTGCCGTGCAGAAAGCATGGAATCATTTAGCGGGCAGCGCCAAGACACCTCACCAGTCACGTGAGAGTGGCGGTGGTGGCTTTGGGTGGTGGGGGGTCGAGAAAGGGGGCTGGTGGGGTGGGGCGGGTAGATTGCCACTGGCGAGAAACCGATTGGAGGGGGGTCGATTGCCTTTGGCGCAGGCCGAACCGCTGCACGACGCTGGTGCACACGCTGGTCGCCCCGCAAGTGACATGGGAACAGGTAGCGGACAGCGCCGAGCCACCTCAGTCACGTGAATGCGGCGGTGGTGGTGGCGGTGGCGGTGGTTGGGTGGGGTGCGTAGAGAAGGGGTGGTAGTGGGGTGTGGGGGGTGCGGGGGAGGGGGTAGATTGCCATTCGCTGGGCAAGGAAGGTGTGTGTGTGGGGGGGGGGGGGGGGGGGGGGGGGGGGGGGGGGGGGGTAGATTGATTGCCGTTCGCGAGGCAAGGTGGCGGGAAGGGAGCTAGATTGCCACTGGCGAGTCACCAGGTGGTGAAGGGGGGTAGATGGCCGCTGGCGAGAAACCAATGGGGGCGGGTAGATTGCCGTTGGCGCAGGCCAGACCGCTGCACGAAGCTGGTGCACACGCTGGTCGCCGTGGAAGAGGAATGGAAACAGGTAGCGGGCAGCGCCGAGTTACCTCAGTCACGTGGCGGTGGCGGCGGTGGTGGCGGCGGTGGTGGTGGGGCGGGGTGCGTAGAGAAGGGGGGATGGTGGCGGGGCGGAATGCGTAGATCGTCGTTCGCGGGGCAAGTGGGGGGGGGGGGCGGAGGGGCGTTCGCGAGACAAAATGAAAGCGAGGGTGGTTGCCGCTGGCGAGACACCAGGCGTCGAGGGTGAGGGGGGCAGATGGCCGCTGGCGAGAAACCTATGGGAGTTGGGGATGGGGGGTGGTGGGGGGGTAGATTGCCGTTTGCGCAGGCCGAACCGCTGCACGAAGCTGGTGCACACGCTGGTCGCCTCGCACGTGGCATGGGAACACGTAGCGGGCAGCGCCGAGCCACCTCAGTCACGTGAATGCGGCGGTGGTGGTGGCGGTGGTGGGGTGGGGTGCGTAGAGAAGGGGTGGTAGTGGGGTGTGGGGGGTGCGGGGGAGGGGGTAGATTGCCATTCGCTGGGCACGGAAGGGTGTGTGTGTGTGTGTGTGTGTTGTGTGTGTGTGTGTGTGTGTGTGTGTGTGTGTGTGTGTGTGTTGTGTGTGTGTGTGTGGGGGGGGGGGGGGGGGGGGGGGGGGGGGGGGGGGTAGATTGCCGTTCGCGAGGCAAGGTGGCGGAAGGGGGCTCGATTGCTGCTGGCGAGTCACCAGGTGGTGAGGGGGGTAGATTGCCGCTGGCGAGAAACCAATGGGGGGTGGTAGATTGCCGTTGGCGCAGGCCAGACCGCTGCACGAAGCTGGTGCGCACGCTGGTCGCATTGGCCTTGTATGGCGAATGCAGAAAGTGTGGCGGGCAGCGCCGACGCTCGCGGTGTGTGAAGTGGAAAGTGTCGGAGGGCCACTTGGAACTTTCGCGGAATTCTGGCAAACACTTTGCAAGTGTCTAAAAAGTGTCAAAAATCGCAAGCTACATGTTGATGGCGTCTAAAAAGTATCAAAAAAGTATCAAAAAGTATCAAAAAAGTGAAGCTACATGTTGACCTACGCGGCACATCTCGCGCCGAAAGCTACATGTTGATCGTGTGCCGCTTGCCTTCTCAGGCGGCGCGCGCGGCGCCTCTCCCCCCGCTCTCCCCCCTCCCACGCCATGGTGGTGGTGGGTAGCGGGGTGTGGTGGTGGTGGCGGGGGGGGGGGGGTGGCAAGGTGGCGATGGTGGAGGGCTGGGACGGGTGGCAAGCCGCACGCACGCTCGACCAGCTCTCACTGGTGCTGGTCGGCCCAATTCGCCTGCGATGGCTGAAGCAAGCAATATCAGAGATCAAAGTTGCCATCCGTCGAATAAATTGCTCAGGTGCCGTTTCTAACAACACGCACGCGCTACGGCAAGACGCCTGGTACCGCGGGGTGGATGTGGGAGGAGGGCGAAGGGAGGAAGTGCAGGAGGAGACCGCCTAACCAAGCGTCCCTCGGCACATCGAGAGCAGAAGAGGCGGCCAGGCGACCTGGGAGATCTCGTGGGCAGGCGCCGCACTTCGGAGGGATCTCCGCCTTCCCTGGTCGGGCGAAGGCGGAGCGGGGACGAGAGGAGGGGAAGGGCTGCATTTCTGCGCCCCCCTCCCCCCCGTGTGGGCGCCCCGCTGAAGCAAACATGATCAGAGATCAGTGTTGCCAGCCGTCGAATACATTGCTCAGATGCCATATCTGGCAAAACGCACGCACGTCGGCAAGACGTCTGGCGTCACCAAGTCAAAAAGCTGCCGAGCCAGTGCGCCGCCAAGTCAGTCGGAGCAAAAACAATACTCCATATTGCCTCCAGCGTTGCCGCCAAGCCCAATAAGGCGACCACCGAATTCAGTTTTGCCTACGCAGAGACAGAGCATGATAAGATTCTTTTCAAATCCTGGTAAATCCTGGTTGGCTGCCCTGGCTGCTTGCAATGAAATGGCGCTGCTTCAGCAAGGCCGCGCTGTGCTTTTCAAAACATTATCATGTCGCGCTCATAAGATCTTGTACGCGCGCCTAAATGGATTGCCCAAGTGCCATCTTTGACAAAACGCACACACGGTGGCAATACGTCTGGTGCAGCCAAATCAAAAAGCTGCCAAGTCAGTGCGCCGCCAAGCCAGTCCGAGCAAAAACAATTACCTACATGGGGTCTCCAGCGTCGCCGCCGAGTCCCAGAAGCGGCGGATTGCCCAAGTGCCATCTTTGACAAAACGCACACACGGTGGCAATACGTCTGGTGCAGCCAAATCAAAAAGCTGCCAAGTCAGTGCGCCGCCAAGCCAGTCCGAGCAAAAACAATTACCCATGGGGTCTCCAGCGTCGCCGCCGAGCCCAGAAGGGCGGCCACCGAATTCCGTTTTGCCCATTACAATCCCTCAGCTCACCAGCAATCCAAGGACACATTGGGCGCGCTTTGAGCCAAAAGAGCTGAGGGGCGATTTTGCGGCGGACTACGGATACCATACGTGTGCAGCAATGCCCCCACCCCCGACGTGCGTGCAGCCTTTTCGGTCAATCCGAGCCCGTGCCCCTTGTCTTTCCACTCCTGGGCGTGCTCACCTCGCCGCCAGATCAAGTCAACAGGTGACCACACTCGCCGCGCCAGAGCAAAGCAACAGGTGACCACACCCACCGCGACAGGGCAAGGCAACAGGCAACCACACTCACCGCGCCAGAGCAAGGCAA